GGGGTGGTGGCCACAGTGGGGGATGCAGGGTCAGTGGGCTGCTGCACAGCAGGAGGGCTGGCCTCCTCCACCTTCTGTGAGTCCCCAGAACCCTGGTTTTCTTCCACAGCATTCATTACGGCAATTACCTTGGCTTTCTTCTCAGCCTAGGGAAAAAGGAACAATCACTTTGGCCCTTCTGATATTAGCAAGACTGAGGGGCTGTTTCCCACCCATGTGTGGTCTGCAAGCGGTGACATGGGGGAGGTAAAGGGCCAGAGAGAACAGTTCTTCCCTCATCAACCCACAGAAGGGAAAGCAGCTGAGGTTGACAGGTGAAAGCAAAACACACAGCTCCTTTTTTTGCCTCTTAGGGAACCCTCTCTCCCTGGCCTAATTTTCCACACCCTGCTAGAAACATCATCAGCCCACCCTCCCATCTGGAAAGGAGACTTCCATTCAAGAATTAGTCATGGTACCAAAGTTTAGGCATAGATATTAGCTCCCACCTCTCATTTTTTCCTAGTCAAGAAGGGGAGAGGTCATCTTTTTCTCCATCATTTTCTTCACCTATCAATCCTCTTCCTAGTTTCCAGACCACAATCCTAGTGCTGTGACATCTACTGAGTTAACATGCACTTCTCCTACACCTGTTCCAATCTCACAGAAAGTTCCAGAGTCTGCCTGCTCCCACCACTCCAGAGTGCTCAGAGGCTCCAGCCGACAGGCTGTATGCTGTTGCCTTGTGCATGTACCTTTCAGACATGTACATCTATCTGCTCATTCAATTATCTGCTGAGCACACACAAAACAGGCATGCTCTCTGCCATCCCACCAGCAAATTAATAATCCAAACTCCAGCCATTCTCCCACTGACAGTCTGCATCCTTGCACGGTACCACACGTCTTCCAGGACACGACCTCTAGAAAGGAGAATGAAATCCTCAATACTTAGTTCTGAAACTCATTCAACTTAATGCTTATTCTTGAATCAAGGACACAGGGCCCTTAAACTTCAACGTTCTGTTCCTATCCCAACAGATTCAAAAGAAAAAAATCTTTTCTTTTTTTGGTGCTGGGAATGAAACCCAGGACCTCCATTCTAAGCATGAGCTCTAGAGCTCTGCCACCGAGATAACATCCCCAGCCCCCCAATCCTATTCAACACAACTCCTAACATACAGCTTTCTGTAAGAGTTTTGAGCAACAAATGCAAATCATCAATGTTTAAAAAAAAAAAAAGAGAAAGAATCAGAAAGCAAAAATCTCTAAAAGTCACATCTATAGTCAGTTTTAGCCAGGCAACTCAGTAGCTGACTGGACAAGTTCACTCTCTTTAAAGCTCCTCCAACCTAAAAAGGCATTTGAACTTCAGTTTCCCGGTCACCTTTCCCAGCCTGTTTTAGAATCTGACACACACATGCAGTTAAGGAGTCTCTCAAACCCTGTCAATGATCCCAGCTGCTGTACTGACTGACAGATTCAGTTTATTTCACTCAATTTTCAAGACTTTCCCTCCTGGCAACAAACCATATTTGTTTCTCGTGGCAGTTATCCTAGCGCTTTCTCTGACTCAACAAATTCTAAGATGGGATAAAGCATCCTTCATCCCAGCCCACAAACACGTGGGAAGATGAGCTGGTGTGGGTGCAAGCATGCAGAGCAACAGTTCAGCCCCCAGCCACACCCTCACCTGGTCAGGACTTTGCCCTCTCCTTCCTTCCATCAATCAGCTATCACTCCTCCCCCAAGAGGAGTTCCAGGCTCTGCCTCTGGGGGAGGAGGTTCCCTTCTCCCGCAAGGGAGCTTCTCCCCTGGGATCATTAGCTGTACCAACTCCATTCATAGATAAATGCTGCCTAGCTGTCTGTTCCCTTATGCCATGCCTGCTTCCAATTCCAGGCAGGGACAAGTCACTTAAGATGAGGCTGCTGCCTTGGATGCCCCAAAGAGCCTGCGTGCAGGCCTGGCACCGGGCAGGAGGGCACAGCCTCCTTCCCAGCCCCCAGGTCTAGAGAAGAGTCGTGCCTGCCACCACCCTCATTACTCCCCCACAGCCTCTTTGTCTCTTTTCACCCCTCCACAGCAGTTCCTGAAAATTCTTCCTCCACAACTTCCCCCAGCCTGTCAGATGCCTCCGCTGATAGCTGCTCCGCATCTCCAACCCACTCGGTGCAGGAGAACGTGTACCCAGCATGGTCTGGGCTAACAGAGGATGGGGGCCTCCCTCAGGAGGCAGTGAGCCAGCAGCAGGAGGCCAGAGGAAAGGGAAGAGGGGCAGGGGCAGCCGGTGGGGGATGGGCCCACGATAGAAGAGTCGGGCCCGGCCGTCGGAAGCCTTTCTCCTTCACCAGCCCTACCCTTCTCCCCAGGGAAACAATGGGCCAAGGAAGGGTAAAACTCGGGACTCTCGAAGCGGGGGTGATCGCTTCTCTCCCCTAGAGGGGCTGGGAAACGAGGTAGGGTTCACAAGGGCCATTATACCTTCCTCCACTACTGCCAGTTCAAGGAAGACACTTAGCCAGGAGTTTGTCCAGCCTGGGAAAGCCACTGTTAACTCCACTGACGACAGCCTCCCCGTCCAGGTCCACCTCCTCAGGCAGCGGTCGGCCTCCCCCTCCCTCTGCAACTTCCATCCCAAAGGTCAGAGGTCATAGCGCCACCGCCCCCCCGAGCCCACGCGGTCTTGGGCTAACCCAGTGTCACAGGGCATCGGGCTGCTCCCACGGCCCTGTTGGGGTCACACTGCTCCCTCCCACCCCTACCACTTCTTTCTGGCTGCCTGCCCAGTGGCTCTAGGAACTCGCAAGGGAGCAAGCTGTCTCTCAGAAGGGGTGAGCAGGCAGGTAGGGCCCTGAGGACAGCACAGTTCCCCAACCAGGTACATGGGTCAACGGAGAACTAACTGCCAGGAGCCCATCTGCCAGCAGCTCAGCCCAGACCGCTTTAAACCCGACTTCTGGTTGCCAGCTGCCCTCAGCAGGCCGCCAACTCCCCAGCCTGCAGTTACCACTGCCGGGGTAGATCTTCCTGTCCCCTAAGCGCGCCGGGTGCCACTGGAGCCCAGTGAGGAGTGGGGCCTCCAGGATCCTAAGCAGCAGTGGGTGGGACGGCACTAAATCTGCATCTTCAGAACTCAGGCGGGCCGGGGCAGCTGCAGCTGCTGCGGGCCAGGGAGGCATACTTGACTCTTTTCAAACACTGAGGGTTGTCGGGATCCTCCCACCGGCCCGGCCGCCTCCCCGCCCCCAATCTCCCCAGGGCTCCGTCCAGGAACCTACCCATAAGGCCAGGTGCAGCCCCTCTGCGGTCCGGCTCAGGTGTGAGCCCTGGCCCTGAAGCTCTGTAAGTAGCTGCCCGGCTGGGGGAGGGGAAGGGGGCGAAGGGGCTGGGGGCGGAGGGGGCCAGAGAGGGGGAGGGGGCGCTGGGGGGGAGGGAACAGTTCTTTGTCTAGAACTCCAGGTCACGTGGGCCCCGCTGGAGGGCCTGGTTGGCTGCGCGCGGGCCGGGGGAGGGGGCCGGCCTCCGACGCTGGCGGTGGGCCAGCCCCTCTTCGGGTCCGAGGGGCGCTGGGGCGCGGGGACTTGGGGGCGAGGCCGGTCTGCGCCCGTTCCCAGCGCCCCGCCCCGGCCACCCGCCCTGCCCCCTCTCCGCGGCTCCGGAGGCGATTAACGCGGGCCGGGGTAAGGCGGGAGCCTGCAGGCAGCGGGGAGGCGGGCGCACGGCCGGGGGCGACTGGGGCCGGCGGCTGGCCCCGGGGGCGAGCGGGGGCGGGAGCGGAGCTTTCCGGACGGTCTGGGAGAGCCGGGAGAAAGTTGGAGAAAGTGAGTTGCACAGAAGCACAACCAAAGCGAGAAAAAGAGAAAGTTTACAGATAGAGTTTAGGGAAACTCCGAGTACAGACGGAGGCGGGCCGAAGCCGCCCGACGGAGCTCCGGCGCGAGCCGCTGGGGGCCGGCCCACCCCAGGTGGTCGGGAGATGTGCCTGGGGCCAGACGCCGCCAAAGCCTCTTCTGGCCAAGTCCGGAGCTGGAGCTGGTCGCAGGTTGCGCTGGCTCTCGTGGCATACAGTGTCTCATTTTGCAGTGTGCAAGGCTGGTGATGAGGACTCTTCTTCAAAGGGACAGCAGTGGCTTCGTCCCCAGCAAGACACGTGCGGCTCAAGATGACTCCACCTTTCCTGGAGCCTCCCAGCCGGGCCTCCAGAAGCTGCCTCAGCCATGTCAAGTTCCGTCCTTCCTCAAACACAGAAACACCTTACCCCAAGACGGACACAGTCTCCTTCCACAGCCCCCCGCACTACATGGGTGGGATCATCAGTACAGACACACACTCTGGACCCTGCTCTCAGGGAGCGGATGGATTGCAGTGGGCTTGGAGAGATACGGAAAAAAAATCACTGAAAGCTGGGCAAGGTGGCACATGCCTGTAATCCCAGCACTCGCAGGCAAAGGCAGGAGGATCGTAAGTTGCCAGGCCTGGGTAACTGAGCCACTTGGGGAGGCCCTGTCCCAAAACAAGGGGTCGGGGAGATGGCTCAGTGGAATAAGCGCTTCCCTGGCAAGCGCAAGGGCCTGAGTTCAATTCCCGGTTCCGCAAAACAAACAAACAAACAAGAAACCAAAATAAAATGTAAAAGTGCTAGGATGTAACTCCAGGCAGAGGCCCTAGATTCAACGCCAGTACTGACTCACACACACCCTGAGAAACAAGCCACCACTATACCACAAATACCAAGTAGATGGCAGTGGTGTCAATGATAAATGAGGCTGAAGAGGTTGGAAGATGAATAGGATTTGGAAAGACTTCAGCTAGGTAAGATAAGAGATACTAGGTGATACAGAAAGGGAATCCCTCGGGGCTGGGGCGATGGCTCAGTGGAATAAGCACTTCCCTGACAAGCACAAGGGCCTGAGTTCAATCCTGAGTTCAATCCCTGGTTCCGCAAAAAAAAAAAAAAAAAAGGGAATCCCTCCCTCTACCTTTGCACAATTTGCCTGAAACTAAAGGGCATGGAGGGAAAAGCTGGATAATGGGAGTGGGGCTCTATAAGTGAAGAACAAGGGCAGGGTTTTTCTATGTTTTATTTATGTAGGCAGAACTGGGGATTGAACTCAGGCCCTTGCATTTGCCAGAGAAGCGCTTATTCCCCTGAGCCATCTCCCTG